ATCGGGTCAAACAATCCGACCGTTTGAACCGTATGGTCGGCCCATTCTAACAAAAAATAAATAAATAAAGAAATTATAATGGACTCACATTGGACTGGATCGGATTGGACCAAATCCAGTCCAATTAACACCCTTACTTGCACGAGTAGATTCCATTTCCTACACGGATAGATAGATGTTTTTTATAATTTATGTTCTTTTTACATTTTCTATTTTCTACCATCTATAAAATTTCCTGTATTTTTTGTTATTTATTTGCAATTTCTGTTTTTTTTTCTATTTAAAAATATTTTTTGAACTTTTTCCTTTTTTTCATGTCTAAATATTAAAATATATGTATATATTTTATATTTTTCTACGAAGGTTTAAATGGTAATATATTAACAGTCATTAGTCTCTTTAACGTCAAGTTAGTGACATGGTGAGTATTAGACATTTTGAAAAGTTGTGGTGAGTTTAAGAGAAATGCTGAAAACTCATTGTGAGTTTTTGACAATTTCCCTTGATTTTAATTAGTTGTTTTAACTTTTAAGCAACCCTATTTTCTTTTCTTGCTAGTTGGGTTAGAGATAGAGGTGGCCAAGAGCTGAGCTCTTCATGAGCTAGTCGAGCTTGGCTTGGCTCGGTTTCAACCGAGCTTCAAGCCAAGCTCGAGCCTAATAAAGCTTAGCTCGTGAGACTCACGAGCTGAGCTCGAATAACTCGAATAATAATAATAATAAAAGTATTATATATAATAATATATATAATAATACGATACTATAGTAATATAAAATTATAGAAAATAATATATATAATAAAAGTTATATATACTATTTTTATTTTTATATATAATAATAGCTAACTATAAAACATTTTTCTCAAGTCAAGCTCGAACTTAGGAGCTTTTGACTCGAGTCAAGCTCGAGCTCGAGCCTCGTACTACCTTAGCGAGCCGAGTTCAAATAGCTAACTATTCGACTTGGCTTGGCTCGAATCCACCCCTAATAAGAGATTACTGTGGGGTTTGATAATTTGATAGTAGTGGGAGAAAGGAAGGAAGAAAGAGGTTGGTCTGAAATACAGGCATTTGATAATACTTAAATAGGGTGTGATGTAAGGAAATAAGGAATATCTGGGTTGATTAAGGTCTGTGTATTTTATAAATAAAATATTGCATATATATAATATTTTATATTAAATGATATATAAGATGTATATGAATTTACATGTAAATAAATTTACTTTATACATGTATATTATTTACATAGGGCTTTTTTTAAAAAGGTGAGGTTTTATAAATTTACAAAGTTGGATATGTTTTGAAATATGGAAAATCTATGATGCGGAAAAGATATTATATGGGAAGAGTTTTGACCAATCAAAACCCACTGATAAATTTTGATAAATAACACCTGATTGGATACCTCGTTTATGATTCCAGTTAACTGGTCAAAAGTTTTTCAGATATGATATCTTTTCCATATCATAGTTGAACCCTTTGAAATATATTGTAAAAATAGTGAGTGGGACAAAAAGTAATTGTTTTCTAACAAAATTTTCCCTTCTTAAAATCCACCATTGAATTGAGAATACAGGTGGAAGTTACTGTTAATCATCTTCTCAACACCATCAAACTTGGATTTTAATGGGACAAGCATGGTCTTCTGGTCTTCTCTTGTATTCCCTTCCGTGGTGCCTATTCTCTTCATAAGCATCCATGCATACCATTAAGGGGGCATTCGGTTTTTGGATTTTGAGAAGGGGGAAGTTGATCCCATTGACCAAGAAACCCGTGTTTTTTTTTTCAGCTTTCTGTAGGGACCAGGGAAAATTTATTTTTCTGTCTCCCAAGTGGATAAATAACTTTCCCACTTGTGGGGAAGTTGCTAACACTTGGATGGGACAAAAATGCCCCTTTTAATAATGAATTTTTACAGCTAAAATGCACTTACCTGGGTAAGTGTTTCCAAGTAACTTACCAAAAGTGAACAGGGCCTCAACTCAAACCATATTAATATGTTCATATATCCACACCCAAAACATAGCAGACTTTTCTTTTCCTGTTTAAAGGAATGGAATCGAACCCCTAAAGGCTCAGTTTGGAAGGAGTACAAATACAAATATGTAGTGTGTAAAACCTTGTATTTTGTATGTATTTGCACTCTACAAATTTGTATTTGTATCCTTTCTAAACTGAGCTAAAAAGACAATCTCCTCTGCAAAAAAAAATCAGCCACAAATATACAGTAAGTGACGAATTACAACAAGGAAAAACAAGAACCATAGAGAGAGAGAGAGAGAGAGTTAAATAGAACTCATATTGACAAATACATATGTTGCTGCTTTCTGCTTCCTTAGTTGAGGCCGACGTGTCCAACCTGAGAGTAAGAGATCACACATCAGAAGCCTTGGGTGTTATCCCAGGGCAGAGACTCCGACGGTCAAGTTAGTCTAGTGTATGAGAGGGGTTGGACGAGGTCGGAGGTGAGGCTCAGATGAGGTCACTCGAGAGCAAGAGTGAGCAAGATGGCTTTACTTGGAGAGGAGCACTCCTATTTATACTTGACCTTGCCTTGGGAGTAGTTGGAGGCGGTTGGTAGTGGGCGGCCAGGATTGCATCCGGTTGATGCCACAGGGCGCCATCCCAGGCCTTGCCACATGTGCCTACATCAACATAGATCTGCTAAGTAGTTCAGCAATGCACCTCACCACTGAAAATGCGTTTTCCACTCATCTCATTTGGAGCCCAAATCCAAGCAGATTAGGCGACAGTAAGGAGCCTAGTGAGTTTAGTCAGAGACATCTATTGTTTGAAACTGTAGAGAATAACCAAGAGGGATACAACATGCATTGAACAGCCATCATTCGACTATTAACAAACAATAAACACTAGAGTCCCTTGGGAAAAACAGAAGCAGGGAATTGGACCTTAAACTTTGGGAAGACCATTGAATTGGGGAAGGGGATGTATGGAGGTGGATGGGTGCACGGGATAAGAGGATTCTTTTTTTCTCCCCTCTTTTGAACCTCTCACAGGAGTGCCATGGTCGTCCGACTCTTTGGTTGTAATAGCAATGAAAAAGGAAAAAGGTGGGTAAAACTGTACCAAAATCCAAGAAGAGAGTAACAGTTTTATCTTAGGACTGGCCATGTCCCAAGAGAAGGGATGAAATAGTTTTCTTTTTGTGTTTTAACCATTTTTGTGTGCATACAGTATGATGACATAAAATAGTAAAGTGCATTTATGGAATTTCTTATTTGTTTCAATTTTCAGAATTTTGTTTCTGGAGCTTTTCTTCTCGGATTTGAAGATTTGGCAATGGTATGGTATGAATTTTAACATTTAATGTTATTCTGTGGTTGCAAAGCACCCAGCCTTTGGTAGGTTGTACTCTAATTTTTATGGGAGTCTAACAAATTGACCATTATGTAATTAGAAGGTATCCTATGGTTGGTGCTTTTTTGTAATCTTTATTCATAGATTCTGTATTATCAATCTATGGCTGCAACTTATAGGGCATTTCATTTTAAAAGAAAATAATTAATTGGATGATTAGATTATTTGGTGGTTGATGTTTCTGACATGATCCATCCTAGTTATTTCAGTTGTTCATGAAGGAAACGCATTGCCATTCCAAAACCTTAATAAACAGAGAGCTAATGATGTATATTTTAAAGTGATGTTTAAGAATTTTCTGTTAAATTGATGGCTCAGCTACATTCCTTTATTTTTTTGTCCAATAGGTTCCTAATCAAATAGAAGTGGCTTTACTCAAGAAAAAACCAACAATGTCCATTGGGGATACAATGGAGGAAGATGGAATGAGAGATGTCGATCGTGAAGCATTTGAATCCGAATGAGAATCGGAAGAGGAGTATGTGAGGTTAACTAAGCCTTCTAATAAGTCCATATACAATAGGGTTGGCCTCCTACATTTATCAAAAAAGGGATGGTCTCCCAAAGAAGGTAAGTGATATAAGTTGGCTTGGTAATGCAGAATGGATCCAAAAGCAATCTATTGATTTTGGTCAAGAGAAAGAGGTTGATGTGAATGATAACTTGGAACTTGAGCTCTCTTTCTACATCCAAGCAAAGGAAGGAACTAGGCAGATCTTCGAGATATTGCAATTGATGAGGCTCCCTTTTCTCAGGCTTCCAGACTATCATGCAGAGATGGTGAAGACAGATGCTAACATGGAGAAGGAAAAGATCAAGCTCTTGGAGGAGAAGAAAAAGATTGAGGCTGAAGAAAGAAGAAAAGATAGAGAAATAAAAAAACAATACAGAACAACACATAGTGAGTGTGGTACGCCATAGTAATTGGCAACTTGGCATAAGGACATTGAAAATCTAGGAACTTAAATTGCCAATTTGGATGTTTTCTTCATCAAATTGTTGTTAGCAAGGTAATCATATATCCTAAGTGAAAGTTAAGCTTGGGATGTGGCATTTTATTAGAAAACATGAGAAAATGAATTGAAGTAGAGAACGTGAAAAAATGGCAATCTTCTCTAAAAATTTCAAAGAAAAGAAAAAGCATTTATTTTTCTAAGACCTAATACAACCAATTGAAATAGAGAAGGCAAGGCATTTTATCAGAGAGCGCGAAAAGGACAAGAAAGCTTACCATAATTTATGGGCAAATTGAAGAACCAAATCCCCCGTTATAAACAAATAACCAACCCTTCTCTGCATTCTTCTGTTGTTAACTAATTAACCATCATGAACACATCTCAACCCCAAATGTCAAACACATGGATCCAATTGACCCAAAACTAGCAATTACCAAAGAAGGTTTTTTTTTTTTTCTCAGTACTGATGAAAAATTAGAAACAAAAATAATAAGATTTTCATCTATCAAGAAAAAATAAAGGAAAGAGAAAAGGAAAACCTTGTTGGAACCAAAGTATGTGAAGTGCTTTTTCCCCCTGTCTATGTAGGCCCTATGCCAAACCTTGTATTGGTGTTGACTCCATTTTTTAACAGAGCAGGCCACACTGTTTTTTTTTTTTTTTTGTTTTTTTTGTTTTCCCATTCCAAAATCTTTTTGGTTAAAACAATACAAAACCATAAATGGTATTTTTAACATTGCATCCAGCAAATGCTGGAAACAAAGCCCAATCAAAACCCAAAATGACACACAACTTGCGATTCATTACTACTATGGATTGCCCTACTGCATAGTTGCTGAAATCTAATTAGAAAAGGTATCCAAGCCAAACTACAAAACAAATACAAAATTTGAACAATATTATATATTATGATAAGCTAGGCTCTCTTTAACTCAAAAAGTAGGCAAGTCTTCGGTAGATACAACTCACCATTTAGATATAAGGTGAACAGGATGCACCATGAACATGAGTTCCGCCAGTATGACAACTTAAGTTTCTCAGGCAACAATGCAAAAGAACTGCCACAGAAATCCTGAAAGAGAATGTCGAAAATAGTGTCCAAATTGAACCAACATACACTGTCTCGGTTGAATCAGGAATAATATCAACAACAAATAACAATAACAACAATAACAAGTTAACAACACACAAATAGAACGAGAGAAACCCCATACCTCAAAAGTCTGTATTCTATGGGCTTTGTCTCAATAATTCCTCCAAATTTAGAAATAACTTCTTTAATAGATTCAAATGGTGTTGCAGTATCTACAAGGCCTCTGTGTACATCAACCCGTTTTACATGTTGAGAGACACCAGTGGACTCTTACTTATCCAAAAAAGAAAAAAAATCAGTGGACTCTGGTGTCTTATGGGCAACAATTATAGCCTCTATTGAAGCAGAACTGGCTTCTCTAGTTTCAATGGAACCATTAGATGGTGTTGGGACAATATTAATCTCAACAGCATTTGCTACCCTGGTAGCATTTCTTAACCTTTTACCCTTTAAACTTCCTAGGTTTTCTACCGGAAGATGTCCATCTTGGTCCAGTTCCAGGCCGTCAGAAGCATCTTGTACAATTAAAATTTTAGGATCTTTCATAGCAGCATTCTTTTGGTCAATTGCCACATTTTTCATTAGCAGTTCTAGTTTCCACTTCAGAATCAAGATGATAATTTTCTTGGCTAGATGATGCAGCAGATAGAGAGGATTCAGGACAAGAATTTTTCTCAGCATTTTCTGTTTCTTCCATTCCAAGCAAGTTCTGATCTCAAGTGGATGCCTGGAATTTAAACAGAAATTATAGGGCATTGTGTTAGCATATTATAAGCAACAAAACCATAATAGTTTCTTTTTTTCTAACTCATTTCCATTCTCCCCAAACAAGGAAAGGTTAATTAAACACTTCTAATTAATTTCTTTAAGGATTTCAGAATCAGAAATTAAACACCAAAATAAAATGGGACAGCAAATATATAGTATGGCATTGAACTGAAATGATAAAAAGAAAATGGACCAGCATTGACATTTATTCTAGTTCTTCAGTTAGTTACTCGAATCAGCCCTGTTATAATCTCTTTCAGTTAGCAAAATGAACAAATTAACTAGGTTCACTTCACTCTGCGATGGATAGTGGGATCGTCGAACAATTTAGGAGATCTCTTATAAGCTCTTCCTATGGGAATGGATTTCAATTACATTTCTGTCCCTGAAGATTACGTTGAGAGGTTTTCACCATTGCAAATGAATTTGTGTTGGAAACAAACTAGACCTAAAGATTACGTTGAATGAAGTAAACAGAAGTATGGATGGAAAATGGGGACTAAATTAGTAAACTGGATATTAGAAACTTTCTAAATCCAACGTATAACTGAAATTAGGAAACTGAATTTGAATATGAATACAAGTAGCATGAAGCTTGTCTATTTAAGCACTAGATCTTCATAAGGAAATAAATGTTCCAACTGTCTCAGCGAAAGAAAGAAACTTCAGCTACTGATTGAGTGTATCTAATTCTATGGTGAAGGAAAGGAAAGGAAATTACAAAGAGAAGGGAAGGGTTTTGTGAGAGAACGGGAGAAACTTGAGAGGTTTTTAATTCCATTGCAAATGAATTTGTATTGGAAGCAAACTAGGCCTAAAGGTTATGTTGAGTGAAGTGAACGGAAGGATGAATGGAAAATCAGGACCAACTTAGGAAAGTGAATACTAGAAACTTTCTAAATCAAAAGTCTAAGTGAAATTAGGAAACCGAGATTGAATATAAATAAACTGTGTTCTAACTATCTGAGCAAGAAACACTACTACTTGAGCTACTGATTCATTCTCAGCGTCTCTAATTGTATAATGAAGTATCAAGAAAACAAGGCCAGGGATTCGACGATGGTGCTAATGGCTGATTCTTGGACTGTACCCAAGGAATGGCTTTCCCTTTCAGTTGGATCTTACTCTTATCAAATTTCACAAGCAAAAAGAAGTCACCTTCTTCGATTTTTTTGCCGGCGAGAGTTCCCCGTGGCCATGCTGCCGCAGCTGAAAGGATGAATCCACGCCCCAACCGCCCTGAAAGAGGAGATCAAAGTGAGTTCCGGGTCGACCCTGCTGCAATTGAAAGGATGAACCGCTATTACCGTGATCAGCCCCGAGGATTAAACGAAAACGACGATCATTTCGGTATATCGACAGAATTGAAGCTGCACGAAGACCCCTGGGTATTAAAAAAGAAAACGTAAACAACTTTTCTCGACTTATGCCGAAGAAAGTATTAGTTCAAGCTCACATACTCTCGTTCATAGAAGAAGAGCAGGTGGAGGAAGTGAATAACGGGGCGGGCACGCGAGTACAAATAAAGGATTTGGATACAGGTTCGGATCACGAGTTGACGTTGAGATGTGAACTGTCAGCAGGTGTTACGTTTTGAATGACAACTGGAGAGAGAGCTTCGTGAGGAGAAGGAAGCTGAACGCAGGCGACGAGATATGGATGTATTGGGACCGTTACTACCTCTGCTTCTTCTTCACCGTTCGTGGAAGAGTTCATACTAATTAATATTTTGGTGAATAAAACTGGAAATACATAATTTTCTTTTGTATGTAACCTCCCAAATTCAGTTTAATTAATTAATGCTGTATTTTTTTTAATAGAATTTGACTTTTTTCCCATGTTCGATTAGTGGAATATCAATAGAACTGATCCCGAATTTTCTTTTGAGTACCTAAAAAGAAAAAAATATATAAATTAAAAATAAATGATAAACAATCAAAATATTTACTTATAAAAAAGGCAATTAAATATTATTTTTGTCATTTTCATGCAATTAATATGTGAAAATGGATTTGCTAGTAGTGACTAGTGAGGTCATTTACCATAAGAGAAGAAGGCGCCCTCTGGTTCAGGTCAGGGAAGATCCAAACCTGACACAATAAGAAAATACACAGATTGGGCCGCTGCTCCTCACAGCGACATCTCCCCATGAGTAATAAATATACGTATCGGAGATGTTTCTCATGTGCGGCAACGACATGCTGCGAGGTAGGTTAGGGTGCGCTTCGTGAGAAATAGATCGGGATTCGACTAATTGGGTCTGACCCAATAAGATCCGATTATTTTAAACATCTTACATAGGGATGGAAGCCGGGCCGGGTTAGGTCGGGTTGAGGCCAACCTTAACCTAATCCTAAGTTCTAAACTTCAACCCTAATCTTAACCTGATCCGACCTTCAACCCAATCAATCCAACCCTAACCCTAATCCTAACTAAATTCCTTCAACCCTAACTCAACCCAAATCCAACCCGAAGTCAATTTCGGGTTGGGTTGGGCTTGGGAGCCCAACCTTCTTCCCATCTCTTAAAACCTCATAGAATTTCTCGATTTTAAATCTTAACTCAACTTTCACTACATATATTAATCCTATATTTCATTAGTATTTGTTTGTTGATGTTTTTTTTTTTTTTGTTCTTTTGGTACAAAATTCAAAATAATAAGTGTTAGAAATGACTATAATTTATTATGAGTTATGACTTACGATAGATCTTTCTTGGGTGGCAAACAACATAGAGGAGATAAAGAATAAAATTTTCAAAAAAACATAAAAATAATGTTATTAAGGTTTTAGTCTTTTTGATTAGGATTAAGTGAAGTGATTATCTTAAAAGAAATACATGATACCATGTGGTGGGGGCTATACAAATATCATGCATCTAAACGAATCAATGTACATTATATATTACATATAACATATATTTATATATTACATGTACTATAGAGTCGGATTCGGGTTGGCTAAGGGGTCAACCCTAACCCAACCCAAAGTAAAGTCGGGTTCATGAATTTCAACCCGAACATCAACTTGACCCGACCCAACTTTTTTGGGTTGGGTTAGGGTTGGATTCGGGCCAACCCGGCCCAAGTTGCAGCCATCTTACATTGACAAATTATGAAAAGCTTGCACAAAATGTCTTACATTGACAAAATACCATGGGACCACTCTGCACTTTTGTAGGCTCTCCCTCTTGCCGTTAAGGGTGTCAATGGACCGATTTTTTATTAGACCCGTCCAGTTCAAAATCAATTTGGATGGATTGGACGGATCAACAAGATATATTGGATTGGACCAATTCGGTCCAAAATATTTATTAGATTGGATTGGACCTAGTCGGTCCGTAACAAATTTATATTGGATTGGGTTGGATTAAGCCAAATTTGGTCCATTGTTATAAGGTAAGAATATATGTGTCAATGGACCGGGTTGGGGTTGAAACTAATCTAAATCAAATAAATTTGAACAAACTGGACGGTCCAGACATTGAATTGGACCGGTCCAAATTGGTCAAAACATTCATTGGATTGGATTGGACCTGGTCCATTTATAATGGACTCATATTGGACTAGACTGGATTGGACCAAATCCAGTCCAATTGACACCCTGACTTGTTGTCGTAGTGCAAGTTTTCAGTGTCTTTGCATCAACTTTCCCTTTCACTTAGGCTATGTTTGGTTTGAAGGAAGATGTAGGGAAAGGTAGGGAAACCTTTATAACCCTTGTATTGGTTTTCTTGTCTTTCCCTACCTTTTCCTTCAAACCAAAAATAGCCTTAACGTCTTTGTTTCATGATTCTTTGTGCTAATGGCCGACGACAATTTACTTAAACAACTTTCATCCCTCTTATTACCACACCCAAATGATGCAATGGAAGCTGAGTAGTCAGATACTCACTCTCCCACCTGACTCCTSACAACATAATCTTATTTGTAAGGTTCTTTCTGATTGATCAATTAACTAATGTTAATTGATGGGAATATTCTAGAGGAATCTTGATAGACATACTAAATTTTTTCATGTTACAGTCTCAAATCATGGTCCTCTGGTCCCACAATTATTGCTTCTCTGGTTAGAGACCATTTTTGTTGATTTATTCTCATCCTCTTATCTAGATGTAGATATTCCCCCATTAGATTACAGATGCAATGAATGATATGTTCTATCATTGCCCGTCTACCCAAGAGGTTAAAGAGGCTTTATTCTCTATTGGGCCACTTAAAGTGCCTGGTCCTGACGACATTCACCCTCTATTCTATCAACATTGTTGGGAAGAGGTGGGCCATGACTTAGTTTCTTTTGTGCAAAGTGTGTTTTCTAATCCTAATCTCATTTCACAAGTCAATGATACAACAATTTTCTTGATACCAAAAAAATAAAAACTGTTGAATATGTGATTGATCTACATTCCACTGGACTTACTAATGTTCCATATAAAATTGTCATGAAGACAGACCCTTGCAGCACGATTAAAAAGCATCATTGAACCACCACTCATCACTCCCTATCAAAATGCATTTTCCCTTGGGTGTTAGGTCCAAGATAATCACATTGTTGCATTCAATGAAAAGGATGTAAGGTAAGCATGGCCACTTTATGTTCAAATTAGATCTATCCAATGTGTACGACATGGGAGTTCTTACTTCATACACTGCATTTGTGGGGCTTTTCTTCTCAATTCTGTTCCTTATTACGGGCTTGTCTTACCACTATTTCTTATGTGATCTTACTCAATGGTGAGGTGGACCCACAATTCCATTCTCAAAGGGGACTACAACAAGGATGCCCACTTTCCCTTTATTTGTTCATTTTATACATGGATGGATGGATGTGTTATCCATATTGCTTCAATATAATATGGATTTGGATGTTCTTAGTGGAGTGAAATTGTGTAGAAATGGACCTCGCCTCAATCATTTACTTTTATTCAATGATATTTTGCTGTTTGGCAAGAGTATTACACTAGAATTATATAAAATTTAAGGAAATCTTAGTCCTTCAACTAAAGTTGCCATGCTCATCAATTTTGATATAGGGGTTTGGAATCATGACTTAGTAACAACATTGTTCAATTCGAAGGTGGCAGATTAAATTTTATCAATGCCATTACCAAGAGAACCTTATGCTGCATACGATTGTTTGATTTCGCATTTTACCACACATGGATGTTATACTTGTGCTTCTGGATTGTAGGGGTTACAAAGTGAATTGCCTTCTTCGTCCCATCAATATGAAGTGGTTCTTGGTGAGAGTTTTGTAAATTTGATGAATTATCTCCACGGATCCATACTTTTATTTGGAGGTGTATTAATGATCTTCTCCCAGTCAAGACTTCCCTTGCAAGGTTTTCAAAAAAGATCCTATCCGTGTTTTATGTGGTGATCATCAAGAAACTATGGATCATATTTTTCTCCATTGTCCTGAGTTGTGGGCCATTTGGTTCGGTTCTTGTGTAACAATGCACATTAACACTCATCCTTCTTGGTCTCTTTTACAATGGTTACAACTATGGTTGTCTTCAGTCCCTCTTACGCCAAGTGGCGATGTTAGCATCTTTACTAAATGTACTACTTTATTATGGCATTGTTGGAAGGCCAAGTGTAAGGTGGTTATTATGGATTCTAAAATATTAAACCCATCTTCAATGTTAACAACAGCCCATTCCCAAATTAATGAATTGACTTTGCTAAAATGCACAAAGTATTACTCAAGTGATTGTTACATCTTGGACACCACCCCATGAACCTTTCATAAAATCAATGTCGATGGGGCAGTGGGCCCTCTACGTTCTGGAATTGGTATTGCTGTTCGAGACCATTAGGGTCAGTTGGTTTGTGGAAGATCTGTTTGTGTTCCAAAAGCTAATTCTAAGGTGGCAGAAGCATTGGCTTTTAGAGATGGATTACAATTGGCTCAAGATTTATCTATTACTAGACCCTCAGTTAGAGGTTCCATGGCGGCTTCATACAATCATAGCCGATTGCAAGAGTCTTCTGTGTGGATTTCGACAAGCAACAAGTTCATATTTCTTACATCCCTCATACAGACAATAATTTTGGTTGTAATTTGTGTAGGACTCAAACTTGGTCCATCCCTTCATATTTCCTTTTGCCTATATATCTTTGCCATATGCTAATATATGTATTACATTAGATGGTCCCGACTTGATTTATAATATGCCTATTAAAGATGCAGATAGAGACTCAAAAGAAAGTTTTGGGAATCAAGGTCCTATTTCTTTTCATTGGTCAAAAGAAGTCTACATCAAGACTTTGAGAAACACAAGAAATACACAAATGGCCTTCATCTTCATTATTTTCAACCGTTAATCAATGGTTGTTCATGTCACTGAACAAAACATCAAGGAGAACTCAAATCCCTTGTATTTTTTTATTACTAAGTTCATTTTATAATTTATCTTCATATTTTATATTAATTAAATATACGAAATTTTAGTTGATAAAATTGAAAACAAATAATATACCAACAATGTTTGAGTGGAGAAGGGGGCAAATAACATCATTTTAAAATTATTCACGACCATTTCAATCATTGTCCAACATCTGAAATGCATTTGACCGTGTTCCACACTGGCCAATTTCTGACTGTTCTAGACCTTCACAATTCAGAAGTAGCATTTAGACACATTGTCAAACAGGATTTAAGTCCAGCAAGCAAGTTTTTAAAACTTCAGACTAGGGGTGCTT